AAATTTATTTGTATTATTTCATATTAGTTATTAAACAGTAAGATCCGTTTTGACTGAGAGAGAAAACAGAATTATTTCTTTTAATCAATTTATTCTCGTCGGTTTAATTTTGAATTATAATTGCTCATCGTGCTTGAATTTTCTATACATAATTATTTTGATGATTCTAATGGAGTTATTTTCAAATCTGTATCTATTCAAATTTTTAGATATTTCAGGAAAGTATTTTTATTCTTTTTGTTATTCTAAAAAAGAATGTGAACAAATGTACGGTTGGCGTGACAGATGCTGCTTAACACACATGACGTTTATTCTTTATTATTCTCTTTTTATTCGCTGCATATTAGATCTGATAATAGATGCTGCAAGACAATAATCATAAAGTTAATTGCAACGTGTTCGATTATTCTATGATAACAAAAAAAGATGCTAATTCTGTTATTGACAACCGTCACGTTGTGACGAACCATAAAGATTTTCGGACGAACGTGTAAAGCAATTTTGGTATATCGCTTAACACTACGGTATTATGGTTGGATTACGTCGCGCATTAATTTTCTTGTCGAGTCAGTCGAGCGTATCGGGATGTTCTGGGATGTCGCTACCCGTATCATTAAAGTTGCGAATAAATTGCTCGCTGTATATGGATCGCGCGATGGTTTACCGAGTATCGCTGAACACCGTTCCTCAAACCTTTAAACTCGCAATAATGGTCATCCTGGTATTAATAGTGCTTAGGATCGAAGCAGTTCCTATGCTCGGCACATCACGTGGCTGAGAGGCAAACTTAGAACGGAAGGGATCGATATACACGCCGTTATTTTGCATACAAACCGTGCGAGAAGGTTTCAACCTAACTAGATATTCCGTAATATTTCAATAATCTTAGAATCTGGTCTTATTTGAATATTTTGCTCAATAAATATTTAATCGATAGAATATCATTATTTCTTGTAAAATTACTGCTATAATTTTGTAGTATTATTTCATTATAAAGTAAAGAAGAAAATGTTTAAATACATGAGTTAGTTTATCGATTTAAAATTTAGAGAAATATTTTATATTGCGTGTATTTAACACATTTTACATGTCCCAAATGTGTCCATCCAAATTTTTGTGTTAATTTAGCATAAGAATATGTTACAAGTAAAAAACACTTTGTATTTGTGTGTTGAAACTGGACCTTGTTCAAATTTATATGTTGAATTTTTAACATAACGTGATTATGTCATTTGAATATTTTGTATAGATGTTTAATATTTCTTAGTATTAAAATAAAAAAATAACAATTTATGAGTAAGTGAACGAATAAAAATAATGTAGTTTTAAAATATAAATTCTAAGATAAATGAAAGGAATACGAAGGTATGTATTAATTTAACATATTAATTTTACTAAAAAAATATGCTTCCACAACGTTTAAAATTATATGTTAAAGTGTTACATTTTTAATATTAATTTTTACATTATGTTAATGTCGCATTCTAACATATTTATCTTATGTTAAATTAACACAAAAATTTGAGTGAACTGTTCGGGACACATGAAATATGTTAAATTTAACACAAATTTTCCAGCTATGTTTTTTCGTCGACGAGTTATTTTTCAGCACCTTTGTCGTGCGCACATAAAAAATGGTCGCATAAAAAGACAGAGCGTAATCCTTTCACCGACGTGGCATTTTGAACAGTTGGATCGGCCCGTGACTCTAATGCGAGAAAGAGGGAAGAAATATCTTCCGAATTGAGGCTACCAATAAGCAATAATTGTACGTTTAGCGACCATGCCGCGTTTGCATTCGTGTCGACACGACAAGCCGGACCGCCGCGGAGAGCAGGGAAGCGAGGAACAAAATGACTATATCTTAATCATCTTTGGTTATTGCCTTTCTAGACCGTGTGCTCGACTTCACTCGTGGGAACCCATCTTGCGAATGTGGAAGAGAAAACGCTGGGATCCTTTGCCGGAAATTCGCAGCACGCATATGCGCTTATCATCCGGCAATCGAAATACAGAGTGTCTACAAAGATCCGCTTCGACTTCAAGAACATATCTGACGAATACTGTAGAAAAGTGGTAGAGCAATTTTCATGTTGTTATGTAACGAAAGTTTCTGGCGCCTGTCCAAGACACTTCGATGTACGTGCCCTTTAATTGTACACGCGACTTGGGATATAAGGAAATTACGTGAAAAATATGAACACGCGTCAAATTTCGTGTTTGGGGGAGAACCGTGACGGAAAGTGATGCGTACGTGTGAGAAATCGTGTCTACATGATCCGCACGTAAAAGCATTATCGACGCCCATACCCGCAGGGGGAAACTGTCATTGATCGAGTGCGGAATCGACTCAAAAGACACCCGGCGAGGCGTGCCAAGGATAAGCGGGCTGTTCCAGCTCGTTTATCGCGCGATTTCGTTATTAAGTCTCTAAAACCGGATTTTTTTACTTATGAAAAATAATTACAGAAGCTGCACATGAAAAGCATGGATTAAATCATTGAGACTTAGTGAATATCTTGGTATGTAACTTTCAAGTTCTATGTTACAATTAATTAATATAACGCTAATTACATAATCTTTTTTGATAACTAAAAAGTACACACACAATCTAAAATTAGAATTTTTTAAATAAATCAGCGATTTCGGTATCATTTCTCAATATAATTCAATAATTTTTTTTATCTCGAAAGTAAACGCTTTATTAAAATATCATAGAATTTATTATAATAAAATTGTACAAATATATCTGACTTTATGTATCGATAAATAAAAATATGTAAGCGAGATACGGAGCTCATCTAATGCAATCTATTGCAACGACAAAAATATAGGCTTCAATGATCTATAGACTGTTTACATACTAGATAGCATATAAAATACAGTTTACACAGTTTTTACATTGCCTACACGTAGATATAGATTATTATATTTTATGCGTAAAAACAACAACTCTGGTTATCATCCACACGCGGCATTATGCTGCATCCATTTTGATCTTTCTATCTGCAGCAATGGATGGCGCCACCAACTGTTTTAAATCGGCAGAAGTAAAATCTAACAATAAGCATTCTCTCATTTACAAGTTATACATTATAGCATGATAAACACGATATTTTTTGCGATAACGTCATATTTCTCGTATTGTAGTAGACAAATATATTTGAAGGATTTCCAGGAATTCGAATTAATTACCGATCAATAAATCCATAAGTTTATAAAACTAAATTAAGTTTGTTAAATATTTTCAAAGATTTAAGAAAACAATATTTATAAATAAAATGTTTTTTTCCTGATAACAATTATTATGATTGAACCAAAAGCTATTAAGAATTATTTTACATTTGTATGAAAAATAAAATTTCAAGGAGACGTATTAATAGTATTATTACCACGTGTTGTCGATCTTATGAAGATTTGCACAAATTGACATATTAATACACATATCCCCGTTTAAATAGATGATTCGTATACATCAAACGAGGGACGTGATGGAAATTCTAACGACTATGAAACGTGCTCCCATATGTCCCGATAAAGTAATCTGTATGACGTTGGCGAGCAATCTCGGTTATAAGTCGGTTCGCTTTGCATTCCATGAAGAGCTTGGATTTTATTAAAACGAAAATTTTAACAGATATTTTACTGCGCTAATGAGCTTGCAATATGTCACGTTGATTGACAATGATAATATCTAATAAGAGAGAGAGAGAGAGAGAGAGAGAGTTATCGATAATTACTTAAAAATATAAAAATATTTCTCAACAAATATTTTGTTTAATGCAATATATATTTTTTGATATCGTTCTGATTTTTTAAAATTCTTCCACTTATGTACTCTATCTCTCTCGTAATATTTATAATATTGCAAACAGACTTTTTCTGAAACAAATTTCCTATATTCAAGTAACAGATTGACATCATTTCAGGCTATCATCAGTTTGTCATCAAAGTGACGTCTTTAATATTCTTTTGACGTCAAAATAATGACAAGTAACGTCAGCTTGTTTCCTGGGATATAATTACAATGAAATTGTAAAAAAAAAACAAAAGTTGTAAAAATTATCTATGGAAATTGTTAAAATAATTCAAAAATACCAAACAGCTCTCGGTAATTATAAATTATAAACTTAATTATTCACATGAATTGACTAAAATAATATTTTAACTTTGAACGAAGAATAGTAAAAGAATTGTTAATATGGCTCAATTAGAATAAATCAATAAATAAAAGAAGGGCAACGAGCCGTCATTACGTCGCTTGACATCGTTTAGTATAAATGTCACATCCAATTGTATTATGGCTTACTTTTTATTAAATATAACTTTGTTAATTGCGTTTTCCTCTCGGCGTCTATCTTATATCATTAAGACAATATAAGATTGTAGAATTGTGAAAAGTAAGATGAGATCTCCTTTGATATTTTATATATGGACCGCATTTTATGAATACAACCGAACTTTTTACTGGACATTATAATTTGACTGAATTTCCGATATTTTATATAAGAGTGTTTGTTGTTTTACATTGAAAATGACCCGATCGGTGTCGAAACGTTTGTATATATACGATTATTAAATATCTTACAGTATAATTGGCTCGTTGCCCTTCTTTTATTTATTGATTTATAATAAAAGATTAATCTAGAAAGCGATTAATGTCCGTTTCTACCAATAAAGTTTAATTTTAATGTCGATGCAACTAACTCTTCATCTTTTTCTAATTCTTACAATTAGAACTTCGCACTATCATTAGTGTCTTAACATTCGTTCTGATGTGGTCATTAATTTCGTCCGGCTATTTTTACATGCGTAAGTTATAATTTATTGATTCACTGACTTATTGAATTTGCTGTGCACATATCGTTTCTGTTTTTTGTTCGGTTAATTTATTATAGCGCTTGATTTTTTTATGTCTGACTGCCAGTCATTTCACAATGGTCTCATTGCCATATGACCACTTGCTCCTGTACTGTTCTATGGATTACATCGGACTTCAACAATTTCGTTCGATAATTCGAATGATTTTGTGAACTGATATTCATGCGATTAGTATATTGTTACTTTTGCGACGTATTAAATTAATGCAAGAAAAATTGTTATAATTGCGACATTTAGATCATACTCTTATTACAATAATATTGTGCTCAGCATTAGAAATGATCCTATTACTATAAAAAATGTCATCAAAGGTTATCGAAAACGCTCGCGATAAAACAGAATACATATTTACTCGACTTCGTAACTTCTGAAATATAAAAGCAACGCATAGTTTTCATACCGTCACAGCTGTGCACGACTTCCATTTAATATACGATTTTTGACGGAACTTCACGACAAAATTACCGTGAAGTTACGATAGGCCGAACATTCGAGTTAAATACTGACTCTGAAATCTTTCTGAATAGCGAAAGAAACGCGCTTCTCTCTTGGAATCGTCAGTGTTATCATCGGGTTATCGGACTATGACCGTCAATGTTTAAGCGGGGTTACACACCGTACACAGTTGTTAGTCGCCCGGTATTAGTTGAGAAGGATGCGCACATTTTATACGATTCTCATGCTCGTGATCCTCTCTGCGAGCCTCGGTGAATGTTGGTCCTTCTCAAACGTCGCGACGTCCATCGACAAATTGATACGACCGCGAAACACCTCGCAGGTTTTAAATGTTAACGGAAATGGCAGCGCTGCGTCAACAGTATCCCCGGAGGTCACGGTACAAGGAAGAATAATATTCATACCACGAAGGAATACAGTTTACTGTCAACCGGGTCAGCAAGTCGATCGGCGTGGCAAATGTAGACAAGTGTGGTGAAGCTCGTTTTGATAAATACGCAAGGTACATTCCTTTTAAATATTAAATGAAAAGAAAGATTTTGTCGAAATATTTAAAAATTTAGCTTGATACAGATCTGAAAATAATATTATTGGACTATTAAAATGATTAGGTATACAGAACGCTTAAGCATAATGGGTGATGCAATGAAAGTTTCTTCTAGTAACCAATTTAAGCGTCTTACATAATTATTTTGATAGACTAACAAAATTATCTTCATCTATATCTAGTTAATTTTTCAGATACTTTAGCAAAACTGTTCTTTCCGTGTTTACCACAAATCAATATCTAATCTTTTATATAATATGGATTCTAATTCCTTCCTTCGGAATTTGTTTATTTATTTTTTCGCTATTCGTTAAATATATAGCCTTGACCAAAATATTAGACACTTTATTAATGATTATTTAAAATTTTAATTCTTCCTGTTTGGAAGTACATTTTTTTTAAATTAATTAGTTCTCGAGGAAGACAGTTTAAATTTAAAAATAATATATTATCACGCATGATAATCGTGTTCAGCAATAAAAATGATTCATCACATATCATTGAAAGTGCCACCGAGGGTTATCAAGAATGCTTATAGTTGAAGCAAAACAAACTTTTGCGCTTAATACATCTTTTTTAAAATCAATAATCTGAAACTAATGCGTCAATTTATATATCTTTTCTATTATATATGTATACAGAAACTCTGTGTATTATTTTTTAAATTAATTTTTTTAGAATCGTTCAACAAACGGGCCATTAACCTCGCTACACATACTTTCAGCAGATCGATTTTATACTGGTAACTCGTCCAAGTAAAGTTCAAGGTTTCGTCATGCAATTCTCGATATCGCAATCTCGAATCGATGAAAAATTTCGGACACGCCGGATTGATAAAGCCCCCGACTGTCGTCTTCTCGTCGCAGATAAAGATGTCTTTTAAGCCGGTTTGCATACAAGGTCGATGTTAATTAACCCGCTTGTCCGTTTCCGAATAGTGTGTTTGTGTTCGTTTCGAGAAAGCAGCGACGACGGCGGTTGTGGCAAACAGAGAATAGAGATAGAATTGTCGCCAGTTCCTCAATCGCGTTCACTGCTCGGCGGATGATTTTCTTGTGGAAAATGCAAGATACGAATCAGTCGTCGAGACGTGCCGAATCTAACAATAAGCTTCGTATCTCTCGCGTACCAACGCAATGAAGTATATATTGCCCGCTCGCAATTCAAATAAAATTTAAAACGAAACGCTTCGTGTCGTGATTAACGAACTTTATCATTGGCTAAACGGAGATAATCATTTTAAGCCACGTTTTTGAAGCATAAGCACTCGTACGTAACAAAGCGTCGTTATAAGCATTGTGACTGTGTTGCATTTTATTCGAGGATATAACTGTCTACATCGGCAATTTTCTATCGGTAATCGCTTGACGCCTCTTCGAGGTATATAAAGATTACGCGTGATTACGTAGGTATTGTGTGAGATATCTCGAGTGGTGTATACGTTTAAATTCTTGAAAAGGTGATTACAATCAAGAAAAAATTTATCCATAAGAATCTGCAATTAATTCCAACAGATTGAAAACGACGCGACGCGATTACAGGATAAGTTATTGAGAGGCGAGAAGCTTCAGTCGTTGGTTGCACACTGTACACTACAGTCATACGCAACTATGAAGCTTTTATTGGCTGTAACGTTCATGTTAGTGTTATTTTTCATCCTAACGTCGAGTACGCACGTGACCGACAAGAGCGCCTCGCGAGAAGAAAAGCGTTTCTTGCCTTTCTTCTTGCCTGAAAATTTAAAAAACGAACCTGTTCAAGGATCAATAATTAATGTTCCTGTACAATGTCTACCGGACCAGGTCAAAGTTGGAAATCGCTGTCGAAACGTCTTTTAGGTAAGGGATTTTTTAACAAGCAGAAACTTTCTTCATTACAAGTAAAATACAAAAAAAATGAAAAACATCAATTATTGCGTCGCACATTTGCAACGACATAAGCAATATATTATTTCTATCATTAAGATACATTATATTTTCATCGTACGATCTGAAATATCCATTTACTATCGTGTAACTTTTCTGTGTATTATTTTATTTATATTATTTAAGTTATATTAAGGTCTATACGAAAGGAACAGTTTTAATGTACTAAAAATTTAATTATAATTATAGATCTGAAAATAATTTTGTTGGACTATTAAAATAATTATGTAAAACACTTAAATATTAATAACAATGCTAAAAAGTTATAACATTCTAGCAGTCAATCCTCCATAGTTATTTTGATGGTTCAAACAAAATTATCTTCAGATTTGTATCTAGCTAAATTTCTAAATACTTCAACAAAATCGTCCTTTCTGTGTAGATTTATAAACAACACTATATTACTAATGTTTCATTTTCCGAGATGCTACTTCAAACTTCAAACTCCATTGCGCTCATGTTTATGAGTGTATCTTGTCAATAAAGATTATTTTTATTGCAAGATTAATTTAAATAAGTCTTCAATACAGATTTATTGCCAGTGCGTATTATAAATAAATATATAAATAAATAAGCAGGTAATAATATTTTTATAAATAATGTTAAACATATAATCAACGATAAATGCTATGTATATATTAAATTGTATATGTTAAACATAATCCAATCATTCTTATTTTATACACATCCGTCAATAATATTTAATTCCTACGATGACGTCAAACACGTTCACATTTATGTCTAGTTGATTATAGCATGACGTAAACTTATTCTGACGAAGTGTAACGCTTTAAAGTTGATTTTCTCTGCCGGAAGTCGGTACAACTCATCAACTATTCCAGCCTACTCGTCTATCAAATGCGCACACAATCGTCACCTCGTATCGATCCCTTTCGTACTCACGTCAAACTTAAATATGCAATAAATTGCTCAGATCTCTATTTATAGCGGCCATTCTATTTCCGCATACGCCATATAGCTCTTATTTCCAACCATAGAAAGATGTGTAAAACTCATATGTAAAACCCTGCGTAAAACAAATAAAAATAAACAAGATCTTGGTTTTTGTTGCAGATTCTTTATAATCAGTTGGACCACTCCTGTTTATGAAAGAAAACATCCCTGGGAAACAGGAGGATTGACAGGATTAAAAAAAACAAGAATATTATTCTAATAAATATCTAATAGGCATCTCTATAGGTCTATGAGAATTGTAGAAAATTAGATGTATTTAATTAATGATTTATGTAAGATCTGTAGTTCATCGAATCGAATTGGCAATCGCAAATCTCATTCGAAATGCAATTAAGATGTACAGACTACAAACTAAATTATATTTTGTCAAGTATATTTATTCTTACACAAGAAATAGATTATGATTTTATATTAAGCATGACAAGAATTAAATTTAAAGTGAGAATATAGAGTATTAAATTTTTATATACTTAAATTAAAAAATAAATAGAATATTTTATTATATTCATAAAATCAAATCAAATTAGTTATACTTCTTTCTGAACACACATAAATATACAGAAGATTATTAATGAAGTATATAAATGATGTAATTATTTACATAATTCCTTTTTCTCAAACAAAATATATAAGATGAATAATTAAAATATTCATGTATAGATATACGTGACATGTAAAACTGTTATATACCTACAGATATCATAAAATGAGTAAAATACTTTAAACAGACTTGTATTAGTTTTTTTTATTGCCTACATTTTCGCTGAGTCATGAAAAAAGATTTATTGGTAATATGCACATAAAATCCAAAATATGCATAGCGCACACAATCATTCTCAATAATTTATTATCGCGCGGAAGTTTCAAGTTAACGCTTTTGCGTAAGCAATCAGGATATGATTTTGACCACTAATTAACTATGACGGAGACGGAAAACCACACTGATGAGCCTAAGTTGTATATAAATACGTGCGCTATTGTTGTAGCAGCCAGTTATTAGCATATTGATGTTGCAAGCGCGTACGTAAAGAAAAGGAGAGAAATTTGACACTAATCCGTCTGATTTCGTCTTCCTAATTTGAAATTTGAGAAAGTGATCAGGAGATCGAATATCGTCTATAATAATGGCACCCGCCCGTTTGATTCTATTGATTCTCGCGACGATAATGTTAGTATTTGCGTGCGAGGGACGGCCACTGACTTTCCCCTTAAGAAACCGGGTACAGCCGAAATGTCCGCCAGGTTATAGGCCCGTTCGTAACGGAGGATGCAGAAAAATTTTAGTGACTTCCTTGCAGGAGGTAAATATATCCCATAACATTTCTAGAGAGATAACATTTTTATTTTTTCCTTATTTCTTGTTTTGAAAGATATTCTACTCTGTATATAATATAATATAAAAATATAAAAAATGTTTGAAAAAAAATATTTTGGAATTATTGTTGCATAAATTGAAGTAAATCGATTGTAATGTCCAAATATATATTTTTCTTGATTATAGAATGAAGCAAACAATGTCGCAGGACATTCTTTCCTGGAGGTGTCGAAGTAGCAATAAAATATAATACTTTCTTCTCTCGTATTATAATATGATCACATCTTTGGATTTCTAATCACTTGTCAGTAATATGCATTGAAGAAGAAACCAGTTTAACAAAATTTGGCAATCATCGTCCATCAGAAATCCAACCAACTTATGTAACTATGCATTACGTAAATGTCCTATCATTTGATTATTGTATCGTGTATACCACTTGATAATGGTATTATGTACATCATTTAGATAATTTTGTTAAATAATAACGTCGGAAAAAATAATTTGTTTCCATGAATTATTCTCTTTCCTCGTATTGAAATATATATCCATTAAAGAAATAAGTGAACAAAATATAATCAGCAGTCAGAGAAACATTCTATAATATAATAGTTTTAAATACAATTTTTATAAAAAATATTACACATAAATATTTCTTTATTTATCTGGAAATTTTTTAAACACAATGTTATTCGCATTACACATGCTTAAAGGGTTCTCTTAGATGATGTATTCATATACAAGCGATACGTTTTAATTTTAATATTATAAATTATTTATTAAAATAATAATTAATTATTGAAATATTATTGATAAAATAATACTATCAATTTTAATATGAATTTAGATTATTCAAAAAAGATGAGACAATAAAAAATGCCATATTATGATTTACAAAATGTCTCGAATATTGAAAATAATAATATATAATAGAGTAATTTTATTGCTCTACGTGTGTTTTTAATTGATAATAAAATAAATTTCTGATTTGTCACCTAATATATGTCACAAATATTTATTATTCTTCATCATATTAATAATTGTAAATAACATTTTTAAAGTTATAATAGTTTAATTAATATTTACACATGTTTCAAAATCTACTACTACCCTTTGAATTATTAATTATTATATTATAATGTGCTTGAAATTCTCAAATAATTTGATATAATATAATATTATAATTATCATTATTACATTTCTTTTATTTATATAAAGTTTTCTCCTAATTTACCTTCTGTGGTTATCTCATGATATTGATAAAATACCGATCATTGAAAATTCAGTGCTAAATAAATAAAACTTCTTAGATTCAATTGTTGGTAATGTAGAAAAAGTTAGTAAATATATTTGACTCAAATTTAAACAAAATATTACTAAAAAAATATTATAACTATAATAAATAATCTTTCTTCAATTCCATTAATGATAAAAAATTATGTGTTTAACATAGTTATAACTTTAAATTATTTAGAAATAAGAACTCTAATATTAATATAATATGAGGGTTTTAGAAAATAAAAATAATTATATTTAATTTTTTAATTAAAACTTTTGATATAGTTATGTACGACTTCCCATAACATTTTATTGATATGCGATGTAAAATCAGAAAATGACATCATTCGCTATTTTATTCCTTGTTGTTATCCTTTATTATCATTATTCAAATATTAATTAGAAAGAAAATATAATAATGAAAGTATGGAAAAGTTTATATATACATATACGTATATAATTAATTATATAGAGAGCTACAAAATATATAGGGCGGAGTTATTCCGTTACTTTCAACGTACTTTAAACTCATATGCAAATTTACGACGACAAATAAGATTTCTTTGCAGCAACGTGCTTACAATTACATTATACAATCATGATTGCCTCCTTGAGAGCACAAGCACAACCTTTAAATATTTCATACGTTCTGTCCAAAAAAATATACATATAAAATATAGCAAGAAATGAATTATATAGAAAGCTCCGCTCTGTCCTATAATATGTATTATTCTATATGTAATACATACTTGATGATAGCTGCATCTTTGTTACTCCAATAAAAGAAAGACCATCTCAATCAATTCCAGGAGAAGATAGCACATTGATCACAGATATCGACACCGAAATTAATAATACGCGCACGAGCTTAATATAATACATAACATCGAATGTCTAACGCTGCGAAAAATACTCCGAATACTCGCGATTATTTTTTCCGAGCAAGATATATTTCTGCGTGTCAACGTTTCGTCAAAAATACTAAACAATGAGAAAACGTTCTATCAGATGCAACGCGATTCAGTAATTAGTCTCGAATTCAAATTCTGTCAGAGCATCATGGCGATTCTTCAAGCCGAAACGATACGCGACATTTAGTAAAACTGCGATATCAGCGCACACCGCAATTGACGATTGATGAAGATATCTACGTGACAAATGGCCGAACGGCGATTCGCGATTGTTTCTTCCGCGCGATATTCACTTTTATACAGAAATAGTCGCGAAAAATGTGAGCGAAACGACCGACTCAAATGTATTTCCATACATTTATTACCACACGTTTGGCAACTGACCGGGAACGCGGCCGCGACATTTCAAATCTATCGATGTGTCGATATGGATTTACTAGCGCCATCTACACGCGAGAGATGTAATCTGATCAGTATACCTACAAATACCTACCATACCTATCAATACTTTTATTACATTCAAGATCTTAAATTATCGTACAGATGTCTCTGCTATGCTGGTGATTCTAGAGTGGGTATAAGGAGAGTGAAGCCAATTAACCGGAAGTCGCCATTTTACGACAAATATTTATGACGTAATTCCTCATCCTAACCTTTCCTTTTTCTAACGTCGTCTTCCTCTAACTAACAGTTAATCGTAAAATGGCGGAACCAATCAGGAAGGAGAACCAGGATTGGCTTCACTCTCTTTATACCCACTCTAGGTGATTCTCAAGAGTCACTAGATGTATAATTAAGGATGCGCTCCGATATTCACTGCCAGTGCTGAAAATCTATAGCGTACGTAACGTATACTGTATAGTTTCAGCACTGGCAGTGAAGATCGGAACGCACCCTAAAGCCGTAATCACACTAGCGATTGCCGATTGGATTGAGATTGCGATTGGTGATTGCGATTACTTTTCAACCAATCAAAGCAAAGCAGTAACCGATTGAGATCCGATTGAGATTAATGACTGCCGTTTAAACAATGCTCTATTTTCTAATCGTTAATCGCAGTTGTCGGGCAATCGTAGCCAATAAAATATTGTGATTTTAATCACGTGATACCAAAGCACATGTGTCTCGATAATACAATATATTAAATTGTAGTCTAAAGTGTCACACTTGATACAAGGATATAAGTTTATGTATATAATGCCTAGACTGAGTTCTAGACTGAGTTCCAAGAAAAGGTTATGATGTAATTCTTTCTCCTTTCTTCTTGCTATCCATCGATGCATCCAAATTCTCTTGTTGGTATTACTTGCAAGGAGCATAATAATTATCACAATCAATTCTTGCTCGTGCAGTTGCCAATATTGATTAATATTTCTTGGCATTTTTTCGATGCTATTTTAACGCATTGAAGATTGAGGTTGAAGATTGAAGATTGAAATTTGACCAATAAGGACAAAGAAATTTTAGCTCCTTTCATTTCGATTGATCAAATTTGAATTTTTCAATCGTCAATGCATAGTCTGATTCCGGCCTAAGTCAGGATATCAATCATGAAACTTTTTTTCCTAGGATGAAAAGTGAAAAGTGAAAAATTTCTCTATTAAGAGCCATTGTCACCAAGCTCAGTTAATTTACCTTGCCAGTTAAGTTAACTGAGCTTGGTGACAATGGCTCTGAGGCTGGAATCAGGGAGTCGATTGTGTATCTCAAAACGAGGTGAAAATTACAAAAGTGAGCGAATTTACTAGAATATTGATAATTTCATTGGTCAACACCTAGTAAATTTGCTCACTTGTAATTTTCACCTTGTTTGAAGATACAGAATCGACCCCCAGACTACGCATTGAAGATTGAGATCGAAGATTGAAGATTAAAATTTGACCAGTGAGGACAAAGGAATTTTGATTCCT